TTCAGGTGCTGATCGCGTCATCGTCGCGAGCGCGCTGGAGCGCGAATGTGTGACAGGTGAGAAGGCCGTTGTTGTTGCACAAGAAGTTCAGCAAGTTCAGCCCTATCAAGAGCACTTGAAGAAGGCCAATCGAAAGGCCCGCAGGCGTCAACGGTGGAATGCCACCAGTGCTGCTGGTCAGGGGGGTCCATCCAAGGTGCATCAAGCTCCAAAGAAAATTCATGGTGTTTCTATTGATGGAATGGTTCAGGACCTTACCAATTTCCTAGAGGAGAAGGCCAGCAAACAGCCAACCGAGGCTGAAGTATACAGACGAATCGCACGAGATGTAGCACAAGAACATACAGTTTTTCCCGTTCAGAACAGCCTTGTGAAAATGTGACCATTGAACAACACCATGAATCATTACCTGGACATGGTATGATGATAGAATTCTGCACGTCATCTGATTCTATGATTGGACAGGTTGCCAAAGAGTATGGCATCCATGTTGTCAGATGCACCGAGTCTTCTTTGAACGTGGAGCAGGAGGGTGTCATCAAGAGTCTCGAGAAGATTGTTGAATCCAAACCAGGTTGTGATTTGTGGGGTAGCCTGCCCTGTGGACCGTGGTCTCAATGGCAGACGATGAACACAAGTAGATATGGCACAGAGTTTTCAGATAGACTTGATGTTCAACGCATGAGGTCTCGCTTGATGATCAAGAAATTCCATCGTCTTGCAAAGGTTGTCATCAGGAACGGAGGAAGAGTCAATTTTGAATGGCCTCGATTTTGTGTCGGGTGGGCCACCAATGAGATCAAGCGCATGATCAAGGAGTTGGAGATGATGCTCATCGATTTTGATGGTTGCAGGGTTGGGGTTGCAGATTCTCAGGGTCATCCCCATTTGAAGAAATGGAGGGTTGCAACTACTTGTGGTAGAACTGCTCGGATTTTCTCCAAGCTACGATGCCAACACGAACCTGAGTTTAAGCATTCTGTGATCGAAGGATCCAAGACCACTGCAACAGGGCGCTATCCAAAGGTCATGTGTGAGTACATCATGTATGCATTGTACCCAGACATCATTGAGAAGTTCTGCCCAGCAATGCCAGTCATGGCTTTCAGTGAGCAGCAGGTGCATCGGGAAAGGGAGCCTGAGGAGGAACCGCCTCCAGTACATGTCCTTTTTCAAACTAATGATTCCTTTGCTTGTCCAGCTGAAATCGATGATGATGAAGCACCCGCGGATGATGAGGATGATAGAGTAAGGGAGTCTAGAGATGATAGATTGAGAAGGGATGCAAAGAGCCTTGAGCACATGACTTTGCATGATCGCAAAAATCCGTTTTGCGAGCATTGTTGCAGAGGAAGGATGCTTAGGAGATATGCACACAGATTCAGGCCCGAACCGGAAGACGCTGACGCTGCTTATGAGAGGCCTTCAGAGTTTGGAAGGATCATTGAGGCGGACACCGTATTCCCGGCTGTGGAATCAAGAGGCATGGGTGGTGAGCATTGTGCACTTGTAGTACATGATCGTTTCTCTGGTGTTAGCATTGCATACCCACAAAGTAGCAGAGATGAGGACTCAAACTATGAATCACTCAAACATTTCGCTGGCTATCCTTTGAGTGGACGCACTGACACGATCTTTTGCTCAGACAATGCACAGGAGCTGACCAATGCGGCTTCAAGACTATGTTGGGTGATCGACTCAAGTGCCCCAAACTATTGGCCCCATAACGCTCACCTTGAAAGAGATGTCAGAACGATCAAGGAATTGAGTAGGCCGTCTCACATCCAGGCTGGTTTTCATAAGAAGCTTTGGCCGCTGACCATAGATTATGTGTCGAAGGCTAGGTCATTCTTTTCTCCAGCACCCATCGCGAACTATGAGAAGGGTACAGATTCTGAGACAGCCAAGGCCGGAAAAACTAGATGGCAGGTCGCCACTGGTGCGGAATTTGAGGGACCCAAATACCCACTCGGTGCTCTTGTCTTTTATCGTGCAAAGGGAGATGGTTTAGCTGAGCCAACCACGAAGCCAGGTCTTTTTGTTGGGTGGCATCTATCAGCAGGATTACGCTTCAAGGGTAATCTTCTCATCATCGACTACGAGGCAACGAGGACACGAGCACACCTGCATTGGGTACCCAAGGTCATTCACCAGAAGGAGACGTTCCTGCCACCAATTGAGCATGTTGAGTTTCCGCTCGCGCGTGCTGCGCGATCCGCCTTGCTTGACATGACAGATGTTGAAATGGTATTGAAGAGGGATGAGTTTGACAAGTCATTGATTAAGGGTGTGTTGCCGTATGATATTTGCATTGATGCATTTCCAATTGAAGATCGAGCACCACCACCAGGTCATGCATACATCACCTCTCAGCGTCTTACCAGACATGGTCTCACACGTGGTTGTTCAGGATGTGACAATGGGCATTCACGACACTCAGCAGAATGCAGAGCCAGGTTTGATGAGATATATGGAATCCGTGGTGCTGCTCCGCCAACGCCGTCGGCAGTTCCACCAACTCCCGCAGGTGAACCGTCTTCAGGAAGCGGAGGTGCTCGGCCCCGAATGGAGGACGACATCGTTCCAGAATGCCCGCCTAGAAGTGGCAGTGACATCGAACGTGATGATCCTGGAGATGAACTTCCAGCTGCTGTCACGCGCCAACTACCTAGATCAGAAGTGCTGTCAAGGCCTGAAGCCTTGGAGGCTATCCGAAAGGAGATGGACGGTGTGGCTAGCATGGGCACATGGGAATGGGACTCAGTGGAAGAGGAACAGACAGTCAAGAAGAAGGCATTGGATAGAGGAGAAACCATTCATCTTGCTGACTTACTGGCGATCTGCTCCGAGAAACACATTGAGCTTGCAGAGTCCTACAGACAGCTAAAAGGCCGTGTCTGCTTCCGCGGTGACGCGGCTAGAACGGAGAGTGGCAACATTGCATTGTATCAAACATTGTCGGCGTCTCCGGCTTCAATTGTCGCTGCAAATGCCATCATCTGTTTTGGTTTGCTTAAGGGATGTAAAGTCAGCACGGCAGATGCCGTAAAAGCATATCTTCAATCAGAACTCAAATCACTTTGTGAGACGTGGGTAAGGCTTCCAAGGGAAGTATGGCCGGTGTCTTGGTTTGATGAACATGGCAATCCACGCTTTTACAAACCAGTAGTCAGATTGAGGAAGAGCTTATACGGTCACCCGGAGGCGGGGTCGCACTGGCAGGAACACCTTGAGGCGGAATTGTTGAGAATGGGAGGACAGAAGATTCCAGAATTTCCATGAACTTTTGTTTTTCCGAACTATGGTGGCCTAGCATTGGTGGTATATGTAGACGACTTTGTGCTAGCTGGAAAGGAAGAGTGGCACCAACGTTTCTGGGATGATCTTTCAAAGGTCGTTCAGATAGATGACGTAGGAGATTTAGGACGCTTCCTCGGCAGACATCATTCAACAGTCAGGGTAGAGGGCAAGGAGCTTTTTGCTTTTGACATGCGAGCATACGCACAGGACATTGTCACCGATTACCTGAGGATTTCCAATGGCAAGAAACTAAAGGTTGTAAACACACCGTTCTTTGCAAATGGTGACGTTGATTCGGATGGCGAGCGTGGAGAACTTGCAAATTGCGCATCAAGTATCCTCATGAAGATGATGTGGCTAGCAAGATTGGCCAGACCAGATTTGTTGAGGGTCACCACATGGCTTGCCACAAAGATTCAGAAATGGTGTTCTGGTTGTGATGTTGCATTGTACAGAGCTATTTGCTACATAGATTCCACAAAATCCAGTTTGCTAACAGGCCATATCAATGATGATTCCGATGATGTGTTCATCGAATATTTCGTAGATGCAGACTTGTGTGGCAGCGTAGACGACTGCTACAGCACCTCCGGAGCGTGGATCCAGTTATCAGGGAAGAATACTTCATTCCCTCTATGTTGGGTTTCCAAAAAGCAGACAGCCGTGTCTCGAAGCACAACAGAAAGTGAAACTGTCGCTTTGGCAGACATTCTATTTCTAGAAGCAATTCCTTTGGCAGAGTTATTCAGTACGCTCCTAGAGCGGGACGTATTGCTCAGAATCAGGGAAGACAACGAGGCATGCGCCAAGGTATGTACTGCGGGATACTCGAAGAAATTGAGACATTTGAAGAGAGTTCATAAGATCAACCTTGCCTCTGTCAAGGATCAACTAGACAGAGAAGACACAGAATTGATGCTGGTGGGGACGAAACGTCAAAAGGCTGACATATTTACCAAGTCACTAGCAGGGCCACTGTGGCCGAATGCACTGCACATGCTTGGCATATTTGACACGTACGAGATCCTCAAGTCATCAGCGGCTGGTCTAAAGATAGGTGAGAACATTTCAAATGATCCCAACATGACTTTGGCCCCTCCTGGAAGGAACCAAGCGCATCTACCTGGGTATCGGAAACGGCAGAAGAGGAAGCCGGTGCGTGTGCCCAGATACATGAGCCCTACTGAGGAGTAGCGGTTTGGAATTGTTTGGCCACTCACCCAGCCTGTCAGTCAGGAGGGGGGAGAAAAGATTACCTGAATACCAGGCATGTCTGTGCATGGCCATCATCATGTCTTGCATACTAGCTATGCTTTTGGACGTTTTTCTGCATGATGCTGAAGATGTGGATGTAAAGTGTACATAATTCACACTTTCGGAATAAATAGCCCAACATGAGTATCCGGGAATCTTGAAAGTTTCTTGGAGGTGACGGTCGTGGCCTTACACGGGTTTGGCTCAAGATCGATCGAAAAGTGTGTCGCTGCTGTTTGTGTTTGACATTCACTGCACTGCAACTGGTGATTCACTGACAACGTGTTAGCTTCAACTGCACTGTCAACGATTCTTTTGCACTTGATCCTTGCTGTTCGCGCTTGCGCGATTTACTGTATTATACGGATACAGGTGGTTAAATCATATTTCTACTCATGCATCCTTGACAGACAGCTGGGTGGGATCCAGGATGTTTGTTCTGCCAGGCTCTAGCCACAGCCTCCAAAAAAGCCAAACTTCAGGTGCTGCGGTAGCAGGAAGTTGGGCTTATCCTTGAATTTGTTTCTCTTTGCTTTTGTTGCTGAATGTAGCACAACAATTGCCATTTGCCCAGGCTTGTAGATTTTTAGAGAGAAGTGAATTTGCAGCCATCCAGTCTATGAAACTGTATGAAACTGTGACAATTGTTCCACCTTGAAACAGGCTGGGCAGCCTGCCTTGCCACATGAGCCACCAGACCTCGCAGGCTTGGTGCTCGGTGTTGGGATGTGAGGTTCATCTGAGGGGGTCGCGTCACGGGTCAGAGCCACAGCACCTCAAATCTTGTGAAGCTTCAGTTGAATGCCTATACGTGTCTTTCTTATGCAGTCTGGGGGAATAGGAAGAAAGTGGATCAAATATTCTACATTGCTCTACCAGTACCATAAATCTGTAGGATCCTGTGGCGTTTTCCCGTGTGCTTCAGGACCAAAGGAAAAAGAACTGCCTGAACAGGTTTGGATGTTTCGAGTTTTCTGGGGAAAAAAATATAAAAAGATTGAAAAAGTGTGGCTTCCAGTCCATCATTCCATCATTCCAGTCAAGGACCAGTTGTCATTCCGCTTCCCTGAGGTGAAGATTTTGAGGCCAGTGACTTGGTTGCATCCCTGGAAGAGATTTGGTGCATCACCACCCAGGAGTGGAAGGATTTTACGTGTGTACATATGGCTACATGTATATATATGTCTCTGTATATGCGTGTATATAGTGAATTTGACATTTAGATACGTCCTCCTCCAATAAAGGGTGGTGATCATATAGCTCACAAACACTGTATAGATTCAAGATGTTACGAGGATGTAAACATACATGAAGTCGCGCGCGCGCACAGATAGATAAGACAAGACAAGATGAGGTAAGATAAGACAAGACTTGTGACAAGATAGAAAGATTGATGGAGACTGTTAGATAGATGGACAGAGAATCTAGATATGCTTGCGCAAATGTGTACATATATATATATATACTATATATATATATATATACATGTGTGTGTGCGCAGACCACGACAGTGGCAGGGTGGACTGTAGAACCTTCAGGGGCTGGAAGTGAACTCAGGTGACGATGAAGAAGATCCAGACGCATGGGTTCCGGACCCCATCGATGCGGACCCACAGCCTCTTTGCTGCAGTTCCGGGAATTCAAATCTGGAAGGATCGCAAGTGGTCGGCATTGGTGCAGTGGGTCTTCATCAACTATTGCATCCAGAATAACTATCCATAGTTAGCTATCTTAAATTGTAGAAATGCTGTGAAGACTAAGCAACAGTATTGAAAGTATTGAATGTTTTCAAGTGAGACTAAGGCACAAGAAGGGTGGAAATCTATGGAAATCTGATGCTAGCCCTAGTCCATTATGACAACACAGTATCTACCGTGAGGCCATTGAGGCCTCGCAAAGCCGATGTGGTGTCTCTGTTGGTTGGCATCTATGGCTCCAAGGCCTGGGTCACCAGTCAAACGGAGTCAAAGGGAGTCAAATGGATTGGAACACGTTGAAACAAACAGCAGGAATCAATAGGAGACCTATGGAGACCTAGGGCCTAGGGGGAAATTGCATGAAATTGCATCAATTAGGAGTTGGCTATCGCTCTCACATCCTGCATGGATGTCACTGCTAAATTGCGGAAATCAGGTCGGTTCAGGTCAGCTTGGGTCTTTATCTCCAGGCTAAATCAAACCTGCATAATTAATACATATCATTCTCAAGCGACGTGATGTTTGACAACAAATGCAGTCTGTACTCAACAAATTTGAGCTTCTCACTAGGTCTGTGAGTCTATCATACTGTATGGCTTTACATTCGAAAAAAAGGCAAAACAACTCCACATCCTACAAACAAGGTCTTGACCCAAAAAAAGGCCGCCCGATAGCGACAACTCTAAAAAATATGGTAACTTGCAGAACGTTAAAACTCCCAGTGAACCTGAACTTGGTGATAAGAGCTGCTAGAAGACCTTCATTTCGTAATTCAGCAGACATCACAGTTTCTTGTGCTCCACCTGACCTGCAGGAGATGTTTATCAAAGAATACAAGGAGGGGTTTTGCCTTTGCGGCATGTTATCATTGCCGGCCCTTGCAAGGTTTTCATGTACAAAGGGAAACGTGTTCAGCAGAAACTACCCCAAGATTTGCTTTTGAGGAAATGCTCGCCGATCGCTTGCTCGGCAATCCAACTTACAATACAGAGCGTGAAACACAGAACTTGGAACTGCTGAAAACCAGGCAGGAAGGGCACAGAATGGAGGAACATATGCAGACAGTGCTAGAAGACGTGAGAAGACAAATGGTCATGATCAGAAAATGATAGAATGTTTAGACACCTGCCTGCCTCGGATCAAGCCAATATCCCTCCTGTCAGGTTTGGAGATGCTGCTCTCACCCATTGCGAGGCACAGGGTTCTGCCTTGGGAGTCACGGGTGTGGAGATTGATGTGATCAGGGCCCCCAAGAGGAGTCCAAACATGTCCAAACACTCCCTCGGTTTTATGAGGAATTCTGGAGCGGTTTACACAGAGAGATGCGGAACGATATGTAGAGATTTGTCCAGCTCATTTCGCTCTCAACATTCTCAACCTGTTGCTGCAGTTGCTGCTTTATCAAGGAGATGTGCCGTCCAATCTGAATACTTCATACATGTTCCTTTTGTTCCTAGCAAACACGATTTGCTCTATTGAACCTATATTGAACCTATGCAGGTCATGCTCCAGGACATCAAAGACTCGAAGCGAATCAACAGTGTCCTGCTGCAAAAGGAATAGAGACGCGCTTTGGGTCTTGCCCTGCTCTGCATGTGAAAATAAATGAAAAACTTGCTAAGCAGCTAAGGCAATGTGCAGCAGAAGGAGAAAGATTCTCAGCAAAGCGATGGAGTCGGATTGGGCGGCTTGCTTGCACCTCTACACTCTAAACTCTAAACCCAAGAATCTCAAGGCAACCCACATCCCAAAGCCATCAACAGCCAAGCAGAACCAAGATTTTGAGGCCACACTGTCCATTCCAAACTGCTGTTCCATGCTCAATCATAGAGGGTCAAAGGTGGCAGATCCAACTTCATCGTGCATCATCCTACTTCAAGCATGCTCGAAGCATGCTCAAGCATTCGACTCTTTCGACAAGCTCGCAGAGGTCAGATGCACCCGCTAGTGCTCTCCCAGCACTACTGGCCCTCGGCGCTCAGTAAAGTTGACCATCCACGTTTCAGGCAGGCACCGTATTTTTGATTTAGGACTGTTTGGACAACCTCTGTGCTGCTTAAAGAATCCTAAAGATCTGAAAGATTTGCATGCCCCTCGCTGGCAAAGAGCCAGCCATGTAGCCCTCTAGCGTTGAAGGCTGCCAGCACCTCTGGAGAACGCTTTGGCAGACTACAGTGCAGCATATGGGAAGACTAAAGCGAATCGACACCTGGCATGGAAGGAGAGGAGAACAAGACGATTGTTGGATCAGAGCAGGCGAAGGAATTCTGCTTGCATCCGGCATGCTTAGTCGTCAGACCTCCTTTACCATTTTTTGCCTGCTCTTGAGATCTCTTGAGTGCATTCACCATGAATTAGTTCACGTCAAGCATATCATGGCCAAACTTAGGGGCAGTCCAGTGGAAGCGTGCTCATGGCCTGGTGGAAATCACCGTGCAATTTGCTGACCGGAGCCTGAATGTCACAGCCGCTCAGCGATACTCAGTTATTATACACCTTTTCTTACGTTATTAGTGGTGTTTGGGTTTTCTTATGTCCCATATATCTATGTCTATATTATCTATCTAACTATCTGTATTATATATATAACTATATATATATGTAAACATATACGTACAGGTGCATACTAATCGATATTGCATGCTACTCACAGTATTGTTTCTTTCTTTGCCTTGAACAAGTTAGAGATTCTACAGGTGTCTCCAAGATCCGTGCCATAGAAAGGGCATACAGCATCCAAATCCAAATCGCCACCAAGCCACAGGATGCCGTAGGCCAATCTTGTTGGGTTGGTCCATGTTGGTCACAAGACCGATCAAATCTTCGCCAGTCGCAGGTTTTCACTCAAGCCAATGATTCATCCAAAACGGATGAGCAAGCATAGATAGTGCAGACAAGGGTGGCAGCTGCTTGCTGCATCGTTGGGCTTCAGAGTTAGATCTAACAATGGCCTGTACTCCACAGAGCGCACAGTGGGATGCATATTCTCAATGCCTGCTTGACTGCACATGTGGAGTAAGCCACTCGGTCTGGTCGATGGAGGGCTATCTATTTTTACCCCCCTTCGTTCGAGGCAGGTTTTGGTTTTTTTGGGGGGTTCCTGGTTCTATGCTTTCATGTTTCTCTGATTTTCTGCTTCTCTGCTTCTCTGCTTACATTGCTTCTCTGCTTTTCCTGCTTCTCTGCTTTTCTGCTTCTCTGCTTTTCTGCTTCTCTGCTTTTCTGCTTCCCTGCTATATATTCCTGCTTTTCTGCTTCTTTGCTTTTTGCTTTCCCTGCTTCTCTGCTTTTCCTGCTTTTCTGCTTTTTACTTTTCCTGCTTTTTTGCTTTTCTGCTTCTCTGTTTTCTCTGCTTCTCTGCTTTTCCTGCTTCTCTGCTTTTCTGCTTTTTGCTTTTCCTGCTTTTTTGCGTTTCTGCTTCTCTGTTTTCTCTGCTTCTCCGATTTGTACTTCTGTGCCTTTCTACTTCTACTATTCTACTTTTCCTTTTCTTCAGTCATGTGTTTTTGCTGCTCTACTTCCTGCTCCTTTGCTTCTTTGCTTCCTGTCTTTACTGTCTCTTTGTTTTTCATTTTCTTTTGCTTTATTCTGTTCTGTTTGTATCCTAAATGAAACCCTAGAGAGACCCTAGGTGAAACCCAAAGAAACCTTAAAGAAATCCTGATAAGAAACCCTACATGAAGCCCTAAATGAACCCTAAAGAAACCATAAATGAACCCTAAAGAAACCATAAATTAATCCTAAAGAAACCATAAATGAAACCCTAAAGAAACTTTAAATGACACCCTAAATGACATCCCAAAGAAACCCTAAACAACACTGTGAAAAAAAACTAAATGAAACCTTAACTGACACCTTAGCTGAAACCCTAAAGTGACACCCTAAAGAAACCCTAAATAAAAGCCTAAAGAACCCCCAAGAGACCCACATGAACGTTTGAAGCACCAAAATGTAGCAAATACCATGCAAATGAGAGGTTGAAATGCCAAAATGTGACAAAATACCATGCAAAATGGAAGGCGAACATGGCCAAATGTAGCAAATACCATGCAAAATGACCATGCCAAAATGTAGCAAATACCCTATAAAACTGTTGCCAATACAAGGCAAATGGTACCGGGAAAGAAAAAAAAAACTGAGGCAAAAAAAACAAAAACTATTCTACACCCCTGGTTGATGGGTATCCTGAGACACCACTTGAAATCTGTGGAAGCTCTGACGCTTGTCATAGGTCAAGGCTTTATTGCACTTGTTGACAGGGCTGTGGTTGGACGGGAAGATACCGGCGGGCAAGCATCCTTCCACTGCACGCTGCATGCGCTATAAATATTTACAATTTACACATTCTTACGCAGCATGCACATCTTGCTTACTACATGGACTACTGTCGCGAACTATTTGTAATGAAGCTCGATTTGCCAATCGCTGGGGCATTTCTTTTAAGTTGATTTCACATTTTATATGATGTTCCAGCTGTGTCCACAAACAGCTGGTGTTGGTTCCCGGCAGTCCTTTGAAGCACGCTGTCAGGAATGTGACAAGACATGACCTTTGCCTTTGTTTAACGACTCGATGTATAGTGAGATGTTTCCAAGAAGCTGGCTGCGGTGAGCTTTCAGGCTGCATTGCCTTGGAGCAGCAGACCCTTGGTGAAATTGGAGGTTTTGCCTTTTTGAGCACCCGATGATAGATGATGATTGTGTAATCCCAAAGTGACACCATACCACTACTCGGTTGAATGGAGGACAGGGCTCACCTTTTGATCCTAGCGGAGGAAAAGTGTATACCACATGAAGTTTTCGAACATGTTGTGGTGTTTGATCGTTTTACCGGCATGTGTTCCTTGACAGGTTGACAATGTTTGACATGTGTGCACTCACAGGATGCCTTGCAACCTCAACTGCCCAAGAGCTATTGGTACCGAACCTTCCAAACGTTGGGCTTGGGCCTTGGATGAATGGCCTTGTATCTCGAGCTTGGAACCTGCGGATGCTCGACGAGTCAGATTTGGGTGAGAACTGAGAAGAAGTTATGCCATGGGGAGTTGCTAGAACTGATGTTGGATATTATTGGATTGTGTATGATTGTGTAAGACCCCACTTGGTCTTACACAACAGGTGTTGCGGACAGGAATCAGCTTTTGCTCTTTTGGGTTCCATCAAAAGAAAAGAGACATCAGAGCAGAGGTACAGGAGAGCAGATTGATGCATATGTTTATATCTGGTGCTGAGGAAGCAACAACCAGGCTCCAGCAACAGGATAGTGGGACAACATTGATTGTCTCCCTTGGTGTTGCAGGTTCCTTGGCGTTACAATCAAGACAGGAGCAACGGCTTAAAACCAGGATGAAATATCAGCAACAGAATAGGAGTCTAATCCTACCTCAGCCAGTTGAAAGTTCCTATTTTGCCAATCACAAAGGCAAATGCCCGCGTGCTTCTTTTTGCCACTACAAGAGTTGAGCTGTTTGTACAACAGTAGAGGTTGTGACTTTGCTTGACAACCAACTGGTTTTGAGGTTTCGTCCTGGTCATTATCATGTTCATGTGCTTCTGTACTTGCCGGTATCTGCGGACTGGGCGATCCGATATGGAAGCTGAAATGCAGGGTAGAATGTAGGAGGTGGTAGTCAAATTTCGTAGAAATTGGCACGCTACGTGAAGCGTTTCACTCACCTATCCAATATGCCTGGCAGATCCAAGGAAACTGGGTAGCGCAGGTGGAGACCGTTCATGGGGAAATCCATTTTTCTTTGAGTGTTTCGAGATATTTTCACTGAAGTTTGTTCAAGTTTCAGTCTTGTTCTGGAGCCAATGACTTCCTTTGAACAGTCGGACCTGCTCTCGACCAGCCAAGAGTTTGGCAGTTTGCCTAACGCCGAAAACATGAGGCATGGTGCAGCTCTCCGTCAACATAAATGCAACATGAATCGTTGGGTTTTGTTGGGTCAATGGCCTAAGACACAGATTGCCATTTGGATCCATTTTGTAGATTTTGGCAGATGGTCCATGATGCAGGGAGACCACTTCTCACAGACTTTGTTATTATTGAATGGTATTGACGTTGTGCAGTGCTTCTGCAATGTCTCCACGGCTCCATGTGAGCAAGATATGGAAAAAAAACTATATATATATAGTTATATATATATGTGTGTGTATATATGTATATATATATATGCGTATAAGAAGAAAATAGTGATGGAATCAAGAAAAGTCAAAAACTGGAGCAACAATCCAGGCGGGATTTGGTTGGCATTCTATTTGTCTAGTTGTGTTTTTAATGCTGCTCCACTGCTGTTCCAATGTTTCCTTGTCGGGATGTTACATTATGTTACATTGGCTCTTTCTTAGATTTGCTCGACATTCCAAACATCCCAGGTAACACCTGTGCACTATGCGGTGCTTGCGTGCTTCTCTGAGGCACAGAGACGTGAAAATCATGACATGTAGTAAGATGTGGCTATTGAGAGGAGCGGTGATGCTTTCGGTACTTGAATCTCCGGCGATGAGCAGTTCGATGAAAGCTCACAATTCTTTCGGACACAGCACTCGCAAAGATTGGTTTTGCCATGTTTTGCCAGTCACGGACATTGCAAAGAGCTAGGTGCAAGGCTTGTAATAGGTTGCCACTTTGGAGAGATTGGTATACTGGACCAGTCCTTCATTTGCAGTATGGTAAATTAGTGTAAATTATGCAAAAGCCACCGTTTTTTCTCTTGCAGGCCAAAGGCAGCCCAACGAGGCACGGTGTGCATCCAAACAGATCTTTGGAATGGCTTAAATAAGGGACGAAACATGACAAAGCGAGGCTTAGAAGCGTTCCAGCGCATTCCAGCGCAATATATCCATGCATATATTCATAATTAGTATAGTTCATATATCCGTCCGTCCGTCCATCCGTCCTTCTGTCTGTCTAACTTTCTCTCTCTCTCTCTCTCTCTTTGCTTGTCTATCGTCTATCTACCTATCTACCTACAAGAATGAAAGGGCTAGGGTTAGATGTTTCCATTTCGTAGAGGATGCTGAAGATAGATAGGGTTTTGCCATTCGACCTTCGTGCAAACTGGGCTCGACAGTGCAAAAGAGGGGAGTCTTTGCCAGTTCTGCAAAGTAGCCATACCCGCCAGATGCACCAGAGCAGATAGAGCAGTTGCGATGCCTAACCTGAAGTGACACCAATATCATACATACATAGCCCCCTTGCATCCCCTTGCATCTTTTTGCTATGTGGGTCGTACGTCCAAGCTGCGTAAGTAGAAACATGTTCAGTAATTCGTGTGTCTGCAAGTTATTTATGTGTGTACGTGCATAATCATGCGCGTGTGTTTGTGTGTGTGCACTTGTGTGTCCAGCCTATCCTATCCATATTTGTTCATATTTAATCATATTTACATAATCACACGTCATATCCATCCTGACATTTGACAACACAAGGCTCAGCCTGGAGGAGCTCATGACACAATTGGAATTGCCAGACGCGTCTGAAACCCAGGATGAAACCTGCTCGTGTTCTGCTATGCTGTTGACAGACTTGGCCAGTTTCGCAGGATGTGTGTTGGAGGTTAGGTCCACTCAACAATGCAGCATTGTGAGTCTTCTGCATCATGAATGATTTTGGTGCCACTACTTCCTTACTATATAGATAGAGAGAGAGAGAGATGAGAATTGAGATGAGAATTTTGAGATGGGTGTGGTACTGGACTGCTTGGGGAACCACCGCCCTTTTTGAGCTCAAGTCCAAGTCCAAGGCTTGTGCGGAAGCGGGTTGCCTTTTGGGTGGCAAAGGCTGGAGTCTTGCCAGTTGGACGCCAGTTGGACGCCAGCTGGATGTGGTTCCAGTGAGATGGGATTGGAATTCGATGGGTCTCAAGCAGCACTCATTGAAGTTGGTTGGCATCTGATGCATCTGGGTATTTGTCATGAGAGGAACTAGAGTGGAGGTTGTAAAGCTGTGATGCAATCGCATACTGTAAACTGTTTGCTGTCCGCCACTCACAGTGACTAGAAGTGTATGGGCCTTGTAAGGCTTCACAGCTGTGCAGAAAGTTAGCAGCTTTCGGAAGCTTCACCACGGGGATAGTATATCTTGTGCTCTTTCCTCCATCGCTATCAGCAAAGTCATTCAGGCATTATTTTTTAGCAGTCCTGCCGTGTCCTGCCCCTCGCAGGGCGTGCTGAAAGAAGTCACAGCAAATGTCTATGAACTCCAGGAGGGACCTTTGTCACTGCAATTCAAGACTGTGTTATATGACCTGATTCCTCTTCCTGTATATTATATATGTTTCTATATGATCCTTTACAGGTCTCAACTGATGGGCTGAGGCATCATGTCTCTCTTACGTTTACGCAAGTCATGTTTCGCCTTGACCGTTTTCTCGGCCAATGGCAACAAACATCCTTGCAGGAGTCAGCACCTGCAGAAGACCGGATCATACAATCAGGCGAGAATTTTAGTGGCCATTAGAGGCAAGCCAAGCTTAACAATTTGAATTTGGCCATAATCATGTATGCAAAGATTATGTGTTTAAAATGAAACTCAAGGCCATGGATTTGTCAAATTCCCTTTCACTGTCACTCCCTCTTCATAAGATATATAAGATCAATTAAGATCATAAGATCTCAGAAGCATGAAGAAATTGCGTGAAAATGATATAAAATGATCCATCTTATGATCCAACTTTCGCCGAGCTCCAGGTCACATGGACGAAGACACGGAGAACTCGCCAGGCCAACCCACCGCGGGACCTCGGCGCTCAGCCCAGCGCGAGGCCGAGCTACGTGCCTGCGAACCATTCATTCAGGGCATGTTGAAGAACTACGCAGAGTGCGGGTGCCCATCGGCGACATCGGGTGCCCAAATTCTGATTCTGACTGATTCTGACTGATTCTGTGATTTGGATAGTCTTGGAGCACCCAAGTATCAAGTATATTCAAGTATTATCAAGTATCATTCACTTAGCAGGTTTTGGCAGTTGGATGCATTGGAACTCCATAGAATTCCATCGAATTCCCTCCTGGGATTCTTATTGGTGTTGGGGAGGTCTGACACTTGCATAGATTTGCTCAGTTGGTCCTGGCACTTGAAAACACTGGAGTTTAACCGAGTTTAACCGAGTTCCTCGGCAGTTTTGACCACCTGACAGGTTGGCCATATTGCCTGCAGTTTTTCTTCAAATTTGAGACCCTGCTACGATGTTTGATCCATTGCTGCTCGCAAAGGCTTCCGCTGCCGCGTATCCACAATTTCCTTCAGCGGATCCTTGGTGCAAAATGACACGCTGTTTAGTTTTTCTATGGTGATGTCCTGTTTTGTCCCACTAGCATCCACTAGTACTGGTCAACCCTGGACTGTGGATTTCCCTTGATGTGAAATTCCCCTGGATTTCCTATGAAGAGAGACATCTGCAGACGTGAATGTTCAAAACAGTGTAAGTGCTGATGTGATTTTGCCCTTTCAATGCGAATTTGTGCTTCATAGTTTTCAACACGTGGGGTCTGCGATATCTTGGAAGGTGAAGTTTGTTGTCACACGCACCTGTTATATACACATTATTCCACGCTCCTCAGGTTCATGATGGAACCTGCTTACACACTGAGTGAAAAGCAGCTGCGAGACTTCTTGGCGCAGCTGGTGGAGGAAGGGAAACTGGACTTCGATGGTTCTGGCTGCTTGGGCTCAAGTTTTGCCATGGATGGGTGGGTTTCTACGGGTTTCTACAGGTTTCTGACTCAAAATATTGATGTTGAAATGTTTTGAATGATTTTGACAGGTGAAGCCGGTTGGAAGGTGTTTGCCTCCAGTTCCGACTTCACTTGGCCATTGTATTTGGTGAGACTCCAAAAGATTCATGAAGCAACCCTTGGTTTCTGAGGCTACACATTGGTCCAGAATGGGCCTGATTGAGAGAAAAACGAGCATGCGGCCCCCGTGGTTGGAGGTGATTTTTTTGTTGCTTCTGTTTGAGGGCTGGGGGTTGTGATGATCACGGTTTCGCATCCACATTTTGCTTTTGTCGCCCCGTTGTAAAAGATTACAACTTACGATGAATGCAATGCTACCATTTGGCTCACCCGCGTTGGAGGGAAGCGAGTAAGCAAGCAAAGCTGTCCTGCACCTGAGACTCTCAGATGTATCTGAGACATTCTCAGATTATCTCAGATTCATGATTCATGGTTCAAAAAAAAAATCTATATGGGTCTGCACGCATCCATGGGAAGGATACGCATGCAATGAGAGAGGAAGACAAGAGAAGAAGGTTTGGGCTAGCCCCTTCAGCACCAATACTCACAGCCCAGGAGATGACTGCTTTGATTGTGAGGATTGGAGACATTCACGATGATTTGAACATGTTGAAACTGGGCGCAACGTTACATAATCTTAAAGGAACATGGTGGAACCCATAAAACTTGGCAGTCAGAGGTCGGCCCAAGGGCTGGGAGAATTTCCTCAGAAACACATGTCATCATTGTAGTGTGGCGATGGACCGTGGTTTCAAATGTACCATTACTTTATGGAGACGGAGACTGGGCGGCAGCAGTTTGGGACCCCAGTTTAAAACCTTCAGGTTGCTCAAGGAGGCTGTTCGGCCAGAGCAGTTTGAATTGAACCTGTGTAATCATATAATTAGATTAGATGCTTTGGGGTGCATGTCTAGTAGATAGTTCAAGCGTGATCCAAAGATATGTGATGTGCAGTTGTTTTGAGATTTTATGTCCTGCAAATATGTTTTCGTTGTTGTGTGATGTTGTGTGTGTGTGTGATTGCGTTAGCATTCACGCTGCACAGTGGATGGTTTCGCATGTCCCGCTGCAACATTGATTTGGTGGCAGGCTGCAAGCACTTGGCCATCATGAGGAGGCACAGGGTCCGAACTGAGGTTGTGCCTTGGGAGGAGTACAGTCACTAAGACTGAGACTCACTAAGAGGCTTAGACTACATTAGACATCATTAGACTACCACACTTGACGCATTTTGCTGACACAACTTGTTGACACCCATTGCATCGTGTTACGGTTGCAGTCTTGGCAATTTTCCAGGCCAAAGAGCCCGACCGACCACAGGACAGGGAACGATCCCATTTCCACATGGATCCAAGTGGTAGGTAGCCAGGTAGCCAGGTAGCCAGCAAATTGAAAATACCAAAGCTCTGGAGGACGGACATGTTTCTTCAATCCTTTGCTCAGGAGGCACCGCTTCCGGAAGCGAGGCTGAAGAACAAGACTTGAACTATTTTGAAACGATTTAATTTTAATCCTTTTTTATCCTTTTTGTTCATTCAGCAAGATGGGCTCCAAGCATGCACTGTTCCTTTGCCATGTCATCAGGATGAGAGTGCGAGGCTCTGCACGCGCTGTTCGACCTGCAGATTCATGCAGGACAGATGTAGCTCTAGCTGTTCATACTGTATGGTTTGTTGAGAGTCAAGCAGGAGTGGCAGATTGGGATGACGGATGGGCAGAGAAGAAGGTCAGAATTTAGTCTAAAATCTCTGCAAATCTTTAGTATCTCTCCAGATTAAAGCAGCTGACCATAAGTCTAGTCTAGCCTTGCATACCGTGAGTCGACAGACTCTTCGTTGCGACATGCCAAAGGACGGAGTTCGTGACAGAGGCGGACACATATTCATGTTCTAGTGGGGAGTGACACGAACGAATCGAAGAGGGACGGCTGCAGTGTTGCATTGAATGGGACAGACCAGAAACTGCCCTGCTTGCTTCATGATTGCTGCAGCCTAGACTAAACTCCCGGGTTGAATCGCAGCCAATTGCTCAAAATCCTTGCTGTTGGACATGCGTGTCCTCATGCTAGGGTCATGGGACCAGCGAGTATGAGGATAGAGCGGTACCCTATAGTAGAAGGGGCGCAAATACCCGATAGCCGGCCCGTCAGCTTTTTTAATTCACATCGGAAAGCGCGTAGGACCAGGATTGTTTGCCCATTGTTCCCGCCACAGACTTCACAAATAGCTTGGTTGTGTGTGTGTGTGATCGTGTGTTAGTGTGGGTATGTGCCCAAGCATTGTGGACTATAATAGATGAGGCAAGCCTGAAGGCAAGCCATCAAGTCAAAATAAACATAAATAAAGCAGGACAATAGGTCAACCTGGTGCCTACCTGATTTGCCAAGCAGTTTCGTCTTCTTCGCTTCTCGTTTGGTCGCCTTGAGCTGCACCATGCAACGGCCTTGCAGAGCTGCACTGATCATCCTGCTGCTCAGATGGGCCTTGGTAGGCGCTTGGAAACAATCTGAAACCTGTGCGTGTGCATATGATTACTGTATATATGTGTGTATTATGCGTGTTAAAGATTTTTGATGTAAATGCAAATGCAAATGTATATATATATATATCCCCGTTGGAATTTCCCTTATAATTTCGAAGGGGTCATTTTGTAGTTACAAGAAGGCATTTTGTACCAGGACACCTAAAAGGCAAAGTTGTACATTTTGAAGTGTTCATGTTGTAAGAGTTTTGAGGCGCCAACTCATTCTATAAGACCATCGAGTTTGTTTTTTTGATGCTTTTTGTAAGCTCGAGATGCTGTCATTGAACATTAAAAAAAAAAAAACTCAGCAGGGTGTGCAATCACATTTTGTAAGGAGATGTCGTCAAGAGTAGAAGAACCATTTTGTAAGAATATATGCTTTTTAGGCATTGATACAAATTATTGTTCAGATCTGTACATGTGTTTGATTCGACTCAATCATTTGATAGCTGTTTTGGCTATTTTCGAAACCACAGCGCTGACACAGCAAAATGTAAAACACCCTTTCATGGCAGCTTCCTGGGGCCACAAGCACCTTGTCATGTTGTAAGGCACAGTCCAAGTTTTATGGCAGCCATTTTGAGTTCAATTTCTTTTTGGATTTGGTGGAGGCACCAACTTTCTTCTCAACGGGTGTTATGTCGGCCAAGGTTCTTTTGCAAGTTGTAAGTGTGGCTACGCTCACGGCTATCTCATATTTTCATTTTGTACATGTTCTTTCGTGTTCAATTTCATGTGTTTTTTGTACTCATGCGATAACACAAACGCAAGACATCATGACAGGAGTTCTGGTAGGCAATGCAATGATGCCTAAGAAACAAAATACAAAAATACAAAAGGTTGCAAAGAAAAGGAATCCTTACAAAAAGGCTGCTTGAAAATCAACGAGACCGGAAGTTGTTGCCTTACAAAATGATACCCAAACATGCTATCTGAAATCACAATTTCTTATAAAAAGGTCATCGAGTGGGATACAACATTCATAATATGAAGAAAGTTGTCACCTTACAAAATGATAACGGATTTTAGAGTCGAATGTGGGTGCTGAAAACCTATGCTTTTTGTAAGGGCCAAAATTCCCAAAAACCGATCCACCTTATAAAGGTTTCAAAATCGCACCAGTTTATGCTTACAAGAAGCCGGGTGCGACCCCTTCCCCCAAATTTGAACCCGGATAAATATACAGTGTATATATATATATAATTATATATATATATGTATACAAATGCAAATGAAAATTCAAATGTTAATGCTAATGTTAATGTTAAGTCTAATGTTAATGTTAATGGTAATGTATGTATTATGTATTGTAAAATTCACAGTAGCTGTTGGCTGTGTCTGTCCCCGCTGTTGCAGTGTTGAACTCGCGCAGCGGTATATTTTCCCTCTGTTGGGCACTGGGCCTGTCGTCTTGAGCCACTTGAGCCAAACGTTGTTGAGCGTCTGGATCATCTGTGCATAGGTATGTTGGTCTACTGCACACATACTTGTATATTAAACACGGCCTCTTGGCATGTTGACAATTGTTGTCTGCATGTCGTCATCAAAATGTTGGGCCCTAACTGTCTCAATGGAACTATCTACCATTGTTGGGTGAGAAAGAATATAAGTTGGCTAAATGTTTGAAACCCCTGCACACTTTACAAAGTGAAATGTTGATCAAAGACGTTGTTTACCTGGATAGCGCACGTCTGTTGAACTGAAAATCATTGCTGGATTCAACCTACATAGATGGGTGCTGTTGCCCTCGCTGCTCGACCCTCAGTTGAGGCAATCCATGTTGCATTCATCTCTGCTGTTTTAAGATTCCATTAATCCAAGGGTGTTGCGGTTTCACCCCGGTTGTTGATCCAGTGTTGGGTCAGCCATGGTGGACTCCATGTTCACCTTCATCGCTGTTGGCCTCATCGTCGGTGTCCATGTTGCCACGATGATAGTCCTCGATCTCGTTGTTGTACAGCCCAATGTCGGCTGCATCTGCCCATGTGGTGGCGCCTTTGCTGCCACGGATCCTCTCTGTTGTCTCTGGCCGTTGTAGCCCAGGTCCTTGACCTGTATATGGCCAATTTCACCAACCATCAGGCGATGTTGGCAGCCAAGATGTTGCTTCATCAGCGCAGCTGTTGCTGATGGCATTGCGTCCAGGCACTGCAATCCTGAGTAATGCAAGCACTGGAATGTTGCATACCATAGCTGATGTTGGGGACCTGTCTGGGCAATCTCGACGATGTTGATGGGCACGTTGAAGGTCCACGCCCATCCGTTGCTTCATGTGTAGAACAAACCCACTGTTCTACTCATGTTCACCGTGCTGAATGTTCCAGATCTTCTGTGTTGCCTTCTCAGTTGGCAACATGTTGAAGATCCTGCCAGCTTCCAGTTGCATTTGTGGGTACGCGTACCCACAGCTAAACATGTTGATGCATCCCGCTGAGATGCGTTGCATCTGGTGAAGGGTGTCGAGCCCCCAACTCACCAGAACCAGTTCAGTCCTGTTGCGTGTGACCGCATGGTGTTCAACCGCGTGGTAAAACCATGTTGCCAAGGCGGGCGCTGGTGATGTTGCCAGGATCACCTTGTCCCAGCGGGGGGGAGCCTGACGCTCCCGTGGAGGCTTTGGAACCTCAGGCTTGTTGATCCGGCCTCCTTGTACTTGTTGGCCTCTTCTGTTGTGAGCACCAACCAAGCCATTTGCTTGTTGGCTAGGCGCGTTGCCTGGTGGTACTCGTCCGGGTTGCTGGGATCCTCTGCTGGTTGCCAGCTCTGGTGGTGAGCAGTGTTGTCACCACAGATGAGGGTGTTGTTTAAGGACACCCCAGGGCATGTCACTTGGCTGTCTGGAAACCTGTTCTGAACAGCCATGTTGTCGTGGATCTCAAAAAAAGGTTGGGCCGCTGTTGAACAGATGAGGCTGCGGTGAAAGCGAGACATGTTGGTGGCCCTCACGGTTGTCAACAAAATGTTGACACTCACAAAAACTGCACAAATCAAAGCGTTGATTTCCAAAAACTGTTGAGTTCCCAAACTCAGCAAAAGTAAACATGTTGTGTATCACAGACATGTTGTGTGGGACATGTACGCATACTTCACCATGTAGGGCGCCATACATGTTGAGGTAGTACATATCGAAAATAATGTTGAAATACTTGATGGGATATCATGTTGATATACTCCACGATGTAGTTGCAGCAAATGTTGATCAACTATTGTTGATCCTATGGCTGAAGATAGTGAAACTTGTATGTTTGGTGCACGCGCGCTGCGGAAAATGCGTGTGTTGCTGCTCGCTTGTTGCAATTTGCTGCTGGTGAAACTGTTTGCTGGTTCTTTTGTCGCGTAGCAAATGTCGGGTTGTGTATGTCATCCATTGGAGTTTCCCGACTGCTCGTCTATATTGAGCGTGCTCTTTTGCTGAGAGTGCTTGTTCGTGGTCTGCTGTTGCTGTCTTCAGTGCTGATGTTCCTGGTGCTGGTGCTGGCTTGCTGTCCTGCAGATTTGTCTCTGTCAGGAGTGTTGTGGTGTAGTCATTTGATAGGCTAATCTCGTAGTGGTCTCCTCTGTTGGTGATGTTCCTGCCAAGGAATGCTACTGTGTTTCCTGGAGATCCTTGAAGAGCTTGTTGGCGATCTGTTCCTCGCCAAGGAAGAGAAGGTCGTCGACGTAGGCCAAAACAAAGCAGTCGCGTGCTTCTGTCATGTAGATGCTGGGTTCGGCTGTGCTGCGGTGAAGTCCGATCTGTTGAAGGACTTCCGCAAGGTGTTTCTGCCATGCTTGTGGACTGCTGCTTAGTCCGTGGATTGCTTTCAGTAGTTTCCATACGATGTGTAGAACTCTTGTGGCGGGTACATGTAGGGGTCCGCTGTTGATGCTGCCGCATGTTGAGATGACTCCTGTTAGGCCAATCCATCCGTTGTTGCATGCTAATGTGAGGGGCGTTCTCAACACACAGAAAATGGGTGTTGGCACATAGATACCATCCAAGTCTGTTACTGTTTCTGTAAATCCTTTTGCGACAATTCTTGCTCGGACCTTGTTGCCCTTGTCGCGTAGGACCCAGCGTGACTGGATGATGTTCTTGCGTTGTTCTGGTGTTAGTGTGCTGATGTCCACCTCCATGTAGACCTGCTGCTGCTTCATGGGGAGAATCTCCTGTTTCATTCCTTCAAGTGTTTTCTTCTTGTCGAGTCCATCTGTGTTGTTCACCATGGGTTCAAGAAGGATTTGTTCAGTTGTTGCTCTGTTGCATCCTCACAGGAGTAAGCTGTGATTCCTCTCCTTGTTTTGTTTTGGGTGTGACCTTTGTAATCCTGAATCTGCTCTTTGGTTGTTCCGGTGTTGGCTCCGGTGGTGCTGGTGCCTCTGGCTGTGCTGGAGTTCGCTATTGCTTTGTTGAGCTTCCTTCTGCTATGTCATCTGCCAGGTGTCGCTTTGGTGGTGATGGCAATGTTGGCCTGCTGTGACAACTTGTTGGTGATGTGGCCTTTGGTGAGCTGGCCAATGCTGGTGCTGCTGATGCCATTGGTGTGTCTGCTATTGCTTTTCGGTGGAAGTTGTGGTCCACCTCTTGGTGCTGATGTAACTGCCACCTCTTCCTTGAGTGTCTGTGTCTCCGTTGTCGTCGTCGTCGTCGTCCTCGTCGTCGTCGTCGTGGTTGTTGTTGTTGTTGTTGTTGTTGGTCTTCTTGGCGGATGGAAGACCATCGTGTTTGTAGTTGTGGTTGCGATGCTGGTGGTACCATTGTTGTTCCTGTTCTGCTGATGACGTCAAACATTTGCTTGTCATACTTGTCTGGCTTGTGTTTGATTGTTCTTGCTCTGACTACTTTGTTGCTAATGCCCAGGAGTGTTTCTCCTGCTGCTGTGTCTCTTCCAAGCCAAATAGCTTTGAAGAACGTTGTTCCATCTTTGGAAGTTGCTTGACGGTTGGTAGTAGGTATTGTGCTGTTTCACCAAACTCACAGAGTGGTG